AGTAGGACTGCCCTCCATACGTTTTTTCATGGCTGTGACCTTTGAGAAGCAGATTGCCAGGACTTTCTTCCAAGGTGCCTCTGGGTGTGTTCAAACCAGCAATCTTTCAGTTAGTAGCCCAGCACTTAACCATTTGTACCACCGAGGGACTCCTCCTTAAGCTGGATAGGTAATAAAGTTCAGGCAACTCATAGGACCCTACGAAAATGCCTGTATGCCTTAAGTATCCATCTAAACAAGAGAGATACCAATGTCGGTTTAATATACCATTATTGTTTCCCAGTGCAATTCCAGCTGTGTCTACATTAAGCCATTTCAGTCATATTGCTAACCAAATAATTATTTTTATACCCCTCCTACTTCCAAAGGGACTTGAATTAACTAATAGTTTAAGCATTCTTAATACTATTTAATTAAGGATAAAAGCACAAGAGCACGGAATGGAAAGACCCAAACCAAGAAGACCCACAACAATTGAACAAAAAACTGAAGCTCTGAGTTTTCTGGAAGCCGAAGCCAAAAAAGAGACATGATGGGTTATATGAACTTTGTTACCAAATTTTAAAATCCTTGACAAATAATCTGTAATGAAAACCAACTTTGTGTTTCTGAACTGCAAAATGGACTTTCTTCAAAATTTTTAATTTCTCATAAAGGTGGTCATCATATAGCCTTTTAATATCAACCTTCAAAAAGGCTTAGACCTTACAAGGTGGAAAGACTGCTTATACCTGTGTTAAGTCTGATTCATATAAAGATGTTGCAGAGAATTTGTATTTTATAAATCTTAAAGGAGCTATAATTTTCTTGACTTTTCCTGCTGAACATTTAACATCTTAGCAAGTGATCAACACGATGGTTTAAAAGCCTAATTGCTGGTAAATGATTAAGGCACAGATAAGAATATTAATATCCACTGTTTGCCACCATGTTATTTCAAATAGGAGTGACCATGTATAATATCTTGCTTGAAGGAGTCTTGACAATAAAGCAATAGCTGTCATTTCTAAATTTTCTTGTTGCAAAGAAAACAGTTATGTTATATAGATATAAATTATGTAAATAAAAGTTATTTTATATGAAAAAAAAAAAGGCTTAGAGCATAGAATTTAATTGTTACTCCACAGACATGTTCCAAAGTGAAGCTGCTGCTTACTTAAAGAAAAACTCTATTTTTGTTTCGGAAGTGACAATAAATTTAATCCCACATGAATAAACTTTACAGATTGTCTTTTCATTTTTCAGAATAATGGAACCTAATCAGAATGAGAAATGTTGTAGACTATTGGTTTTTTTTTTTTAAGCTATCCAGTATAACTTCCCTTTATGAATCACCTCTCTAGACTCCATGTGATATTGATATGATTATCAATAATTAGACCCCAAATTCTCTGACTATAGAGGTGGGTCCTTGAACTAAACTAGGCCAATCAGGCTCAGACTTGCAAGGATTTGAACTTTGAACAGAATCGCAAAGAATTAAAGGAAGTCACGGCTCGGTTATTCAGATGGCCACGGCAGGCATACAGACAGCCGTGTGCTCCTGCTGCCAAGAGTCTTGAGCTGCCCTGGTTTCTGCACATCCCAAGGCCAGGGTGAGGTCACCCTTTCCAGGTCCATAAGTTACCTATCCAGGATGCACTTTTTTAAATTCCCTCTTCTATTTCCTTAAGCTACTGAATCAGTTTTCCTTTCCTTATTATTAAAATTGTTAATTGATAAAATTCCATTACTAGAAATTATGTTCTCATTCCAGTAAAAGCGTGAGGAACTTCCCTAGAGTAACACTCCTAGTCTCTCTTCCTCCCCTCACATAATCCTCCTCAAAGAGTTACTGGCAGGATAGATGAATCTGGGGGGAAGGAACCTAGCATACTCAGTTCCACTTCCGACCTTCTTGACCCCTCTTTCCTTCAAAGCCAGACTGTCTGCAGTAAGAGCTGCTGAAAAGAGACTTGGGTTTTTCCCACTCTACCAAGGACTGTTTCTCAGTCTGTCCAGTTCAGTACACTCATGCAGATGCCACATGAGTCTAGTGTTCCACCCTGTATCTGCATAATAAATCTGACGCTTTGATCTTCATCTATGTGACTCCTGGGACTATGACACACACACATTCTCTCTCTCACTCTCTATTTGGATTCTGAAAAGATTAGAAGATGTTTACTAGGCCTCATCAAACTCTAACAGAAACTAGTGGCCATTTTTAAAAATTAGAATGATTTTGCAAATAAGCTAAAAACTTCAGAAATGAATAAAAATGGATGAATAAATATACTTAATATATTCATATACATATCTTGAATTCAGTGGTTAGAGATCTTGGCAGAAAAAATATGATAGGGATATTTTCCAGCTATTAGTAAATATACCTGTTTTGTGGCTATGAGCATGTTATGGTCATAATATCTCATTTCTTCCCCTGTCTAATGCTTACCATAAGCAGGAGTGAATATAAACCTTATAAGGGTGAATATGAGACTTGATAAAATGTGTTGTTGGAAGAATTGTACCTACTACTGCTGAAAGGACAAACATTGAGCTAATAAATTGCCTGGAAGACTGGTTAACAGATTTGATGAATTCTAAATTGTGATAAACTTCTGTGTATCTATGTGCCAGAAGTTTTCTTATTCTAAAAACTCAGGCTCTTGGTGAGTAACTATACTTACTCTTAGATCATAGAAGTAGTGATCAATAAAAGTTGTGATGGCTAACGTTTAGGATAAAAGATACAAGTTATCTCTAGTGTTGGTATCTAGTAGATCTTTCACTTTTACAGAGAATACTAAGTGATTAATTAATATTGCTAGCTAGCTAAATGAAAAGAATCAAGAACTATATTACAAGTACTGGATAGAGTCTCTACTCTCAGTCATCCTGGCCTCATCAAAGCTTAGTTGCCTAGTCTATAAAGTTAAATGTAGACATGGTTCCTAGGATAATCACATACAGACAAGACTTAAAAATCTGAATCTGCAAACTACTGTTGACATTACAACTTCTCCCAGATTACATTTGCATTTTAAAGATTTCACCCAAAGATGTGAGTTTTCTTAGGGTGTCAGGCATTGTGGGAAGATTTCTTAGGACAGAGTGGCCTCAAGTCAAATCACATAGGTAGGTATTCTATCTACTTGTAAGACCTTATTCCCTGCCCCTGTGAAAGTCAACATCACTGCCCCTGTGAAATGTCAGCAGTGCCTTTTCTAGGAACCTAAATTTAAGAACTATAATTTTACTATCTCTTCAACACAGAGGTAGAAAACCCTTGGATTATTCAAGCAACCAACTTAAAGTGAACAAACATCACAGATCCTTTAAACATATTATGTTTTAGGGAAGAAATCATAGCACGTGCAAAAATCTGATATCGCATTTGCAATTCTCAACTACTTTTTCAAACACCTTGCTTCTGCAAAGAGAAAAGTCATTCCAAGTCTAGAAATTAGTGGTGAGTGAAATTGGCAGCACTTCAATTTTTTACATGTCTAATCTTAACACTATACTTTAAGTAAATTCAACTTAAAACAGAAGCCCGACATATATCTTGGACAGAATTTATCTATCCATCAACCCAATCAAAGTCCCCAGTAAACATACAATTTAAGTAATAATAATGGGCTTGCTATGCAAATGCAGCTTTAAGACAAGTCACATATTTTCATCTGCATCAAAGTTATCTCTGATAAGCATGCAATCTAGATAAAAACAAGGACTTTCTATGCAAACATCACATCAAATCCAACTCTAGTTCTTCCTTCCAATCCTAAGACTGCTTACATAGACACTCTGGGGCCACAACTCTTTATCACTTTATAATAAAATCTTCTAAGTAAGCTGGAAAGTATAAATAACCATACTTAGCCAATGATATATTTTCTGGTATTATTTTTAGTACTGTATGACATTCTCCAAGAAGCTTTTTGAATCTTTTCAGAACATTTGTTTTAATTAAAAAAGGGAAGAAATTCTATCGCCAAAATCTACAATTTAATACCAACAGATCTGATATATGAGTCAAACCAATTTTGTCAAGTGGACTTTCCAGTCAGTCAAATATATGCTGTGATCAATTTCAGGATGCATATTTTTGCAACTTCAGCATTGCTGTTTCTACGTCAGCAAGTATATGAAAGCGAAAATACACTGAAGCTTTTTATATGTGTTTGGTGCTCTGCAGAACCAAAGATTCAGTGAGGACTAAGCTTACTTCTATATCTCTATTTACAAATAAGGAAGTTAAGGTTCAAAGTTGTTTAATAGCTTGCTCAATATCACACAGTGACAGAGGCAGAATACCATGAAGAAGAGCCGAAAATTGTTTGCTAATATTTGCCAATGATGATACAGAAGAGATTTAATTGTATCAATCTATAGGTCTCTCTTTCTCTTTCTGTCTCTCTCATCTCACTGGAATTTGGAATTCAAGTGTGTAATACACAGTGACTGCAACAAAGAGCTCAAGTATAACAACGATTGTGAGGATGGCGCAGGACCGGGTAGTGTTTCGTTCTGTCTTAGGTAAGGTCGCTATGAGTGGGAACCAACTTGACAGCACCTAACAACAACAACAACAACGCACAGTGTTAGAAGATGGTCTGAGAATCAACTAGAAAACTTCCTTTGAAACCAGGAGCTAGAGGTTATTAAAATTAATAAGAAATAAGATAATTGCCTAAATGGGAAATTGCAAAATCGAGGAGTGAAACAGACACGCAGAATTTGTATTACTATAACCTTTGGTAGAAGACGGTAGAGCATTCAGTTAAGGGCCAGAACAGAAGGTCTACATGTGGACAAAGGCATTAAAGAGCCATGTGTGTCCAGATGATCCTTTAGTCCATACCTGTCAATGATTTCAAACAATCAATTATAGAAAAAGAGAAGTAAAACCAAAGTTTCCTCTAAAATCTTCAGTAATGTACATTTGGCACACCTCGTAATGCAGAGGCTTAAGTGAAGTCTGGATCTGAAAAATAAAAAATAAGCTTAGTTACCTTGATAATGTTTTTAAAGGAACAGCTGCCCCAGGACTCAAACTTCCACTAACCATCAGAGGCAGTTGTGACCAGTGGTTGCCTCTTTTCAAGATCAAAAGGAAAGTGAAGGGCACTAGGCACAAGAGTCCGGAAGTCCTCCAGGTCAGGTAGCTTCTTGTCAAAAGTCAGCGTGAATAGGGAGCAGAGGAACGGCTCCAGGAAAGTAGTGATGTTTCTGTCCTGCTTCTGCCTGCTTTGTGAATCTCCCTGCTTGAGAGTAATTACGTTAAAAAATCAAAGTACTTAAGTGGCCTGAGGAAAAGATTAAACGAAACAAAGGTTTTTTTTTGGGGGGGGGGTGGCACTGAAAAATTCTCATTCCTCAAAGCTGAAACACTAACAAGAAAAGAGTATCAAACACACACACATTGAAACTAAGAGCACTGCCATCCTAGAGGTGCTGTAAACAAGTTGCATCTCAGAGGTTAATATTCCTCAGGCTCTTCAGCCTGCCAGTCTCTTTTCAGCTAGGAGTTTAATTTGAGCTCTGTATTAATTATACATTACAATTACACATAGAGATGGGCACGCATACACACTGTGATGGTAATGCTGCTATCGTGGACTCGCTCTGGAACTTATTCAGGTCACCTCAGACCCTGTGGGATACGATGCTGTTTACTGTCTGGTAGTTCAGACTCGATTTTCTCTAGAGATGGCTGCCCAGAAACAAGCTTCCTCCAAAATGAAAACTCATTGCCAAGGTTTTCCAGAAAGAAGAAATTACAAATTTCTATGTCAGATGCCATGCAGTGACAAAAATGTGTATATAGTGACAAAATCAAAATGTTCTGACCATACATCTTAGGCCAAGTGTGGCCTGATGTGTTTGGAGGACCATATATGTAGCAATATCTCACTAAAGCAATCTGATTCAGAAACGTGTTTTATAGGTTGCACAGGAAATGAATGTTGAAGGCTTTTCCTGTCGTCTCTGCAGTTTTGGTGATTGCAAGATGGCCTGGGGAACAAAAGCTCAGCAAAAATATCTCTTGCACTTCCCCCAATCCCAGCTGCTTGCCCTTGACATCTTGAAACTGGCACTTCAATGAGCTCTCAGCCTTGGAAAGCAATGCATAAATATAAGACCAGAAACATCTATTTATTAAGCTTAGTCACTAAATTAATCTTTCCCTCTGGCTAGCTATGAAGTGGAGTTAATGAGGATGAAGCAGAAGCAGAACTGGGACATATTTAACGATGGGCTGCACCTCAAGTCCTCACTCCCTGGCCAAAAGAATCAGGACAGCTCCCTCCTGACGTCAAAAGGGCGTAAAGCAGACCTACAGGCAAGAATTCCTCACTCCCACCTCCTTTTCCAATTGCTAAAAGCGTAGCGGTGTGATTGTTCCAACACAACACTTGCCTCGTAGGAGTTGAACTCCCTTATTTGTTCACATTTATTGAGCTGCTCCCATGGCCAAGCACTGTGCCGTATGCTGGTGAGATGGCAGTGAACAAAGCAAAGTCTCTTCTCTCAGGGACCTCACCGTGCAGTGGGGTAAATGGGCAAGAACCCAAACATATACATATATAATTTCAGGTCATGATAAATGCCGCGATCAGAGCTGCAATATGGTTAAATAGCAACCCTAGATAGGAAGGTGGGGGAAAGCTTCTTGGAAGAAGTATCGTTTGAGCTGAGCCCTGCCAAGCCCCAGGGTGTCATACCAGGCACACCCTTCGAAGAACACAAGAAGAAAGATAGACGTTCAGAAAGTTAAATAAATGCTCTGATTTTATAAATGCTTTTGCACTTAATTATATTTCTTCTCCCCAATATCTTAAGCAAGGTTATTTCTTTTTGATAGCCCAACTGTGGAATGAATTTGAGCACTGAAACCCCAGGGAGGCCATATGATATAATAGAAAGAAGCAGATAGATACTGGTTCAAACTCCCAGCATCCCAATGTCTATGTAATGTTGAGCATATCATGAGCCTCAGTTTTGTCATTGGGAAAATGGGTTAATGTAAGGATTAATTTACAGAGCCTATGAAAGTTATCTGTCATGGTTCTGAGCTCACATAGGTGCTCAGACAGTGCTAATCAGTCACAATAATTGTAATTTTAATTAAGCGCTCAGTATGTGTGAGGTTCTAAGTACTTTGCAGACTTTTTTTTCCTTTAGTTTTCCCAGTGAAATAGATACTATTGTTATTACCATGTTATCGATGAGGAAGAAGAAGCCGAGGGGAGGTAAGTAAATTGTTCACAGTCATAAAGCTGGTGAGAGAGCTGAGACTGAGTCAGCCCAGATCTACCTCCAAAGCCATGCAATTCACTGCTCCCCGGGCACAACACAGACATACTGAGCGTGTCTTAACTCCAAGCCAAATTCCACCTCCTCAGGTGAAATCAGATACCATCTACCTTAATATCCCACAGAGGATATATATATATATATATATATATAATACACCACAAAGGAAAAGGGCTTCATTTCAATCCCCACCCTTTCTCTCTGGCTTCTCAACTAACATGGCACAAAGCTGAAAAATATTTTGCTTAACTCTATTTATTAAGGAAATAGACTGGAGTGAGCATAGCTGGAGTGAGATTCCCATTACTCTGCTCAGTGAGTGGTTTATCACGCACAAACACACAGTGACAGATTAGGTCTGGTGATAGAAACAGCCTGTGCACGGCACATCACTTTGTCGCTTATCTCCAAAGAAAAGCTGTCTCCATAAGGATGACAAAAACTTTGGCAAATTAGCAAAGTATAAAATAGCATAAGTTCAATAAGACCGTCCATGAAAATTCCTTCTATTATTTTATATTCTGTTGAGAATTTACAAGGGATTAGACAGTAGCTACATAGAAACACAAAATCAAACCAAACCCATTGCCATCGAGTCGATAACAACTCATAGAAATCCTATAGGACAGAGCAGAACTGCCTTATAAGGTTTCCAAGGGGCAGCTGGTGGATTCAAACTGCTGACCTTTTTGTTAGTAGCTGAGCTCTTAACCACTGCGCCACCAGGGCTCCAAATAAACAAAAGGGGGGAATAAACCAAGAGTTAGTTATTTTAATAATAACTGCCATGTCTATATTCCAGGAGAGTTGTGGGAATATAAAAGTATATGAAAATGTGTTTTAAAATTATAAGATTTTTCATTCATTTGTTCCACAAAAATTTACTGAGTGCATACTATATTCCTGGCACTGTTCTAGGCACTAAGGGCACAGTAGTAAACAGAACAAATTTTAAAACATACTATCAAAACGACAACAACAATAATAAACACCTACTGTCAAGGAACTTACTATCTCATTTATACAAATACTGAACATTATATAAATATTAATAATTTTTGTTTCCTTAACTTTGAGGCTTTAACTCTTATTGAAATGTAAATATATGACAGTAGTCTCCATTAATTGGTTACCTGTCAAGTAAGTCATACCCATTCACCAGTTTCCTAAGAGTTCATTTTAATAAGTGAGGGGAGAAATAAAAGGCAACATGTAATGTGAAAGCAATAGGAGTCTGTGCCAGGTGACATGGTGGGGTGTAGGGAGGAAGGAGGAGAATGGTGCCTCTCGCAATTTTGCCTACCAAAAACATTACCGGCACAAAAGTAATTTTACTATTATCTTTCTAAGTAAACCACCTGCTAGTGCTTTCAAAAAGGGGGAAAAAATCACATCACATATTTCAAAGTCAGATAGAAAAATGTGCATGGTCTGAATTCCTATTCCTTCCATTAGCATGGATAATCAAGAGTTTACTTTGTGTGTTCAATCAAAGCTAGCCACAAGTGAGCCCTAAAATATAACAATTACATGGTTTCCTCCCACTCCTGCCCACATAATGGATCCTGAAGGAGAAAGAGTGTTCAAACAGGCTGAAGCATAATTCTTAGTGCGTGGGTAAATCTGAAACAGTGCAGCATTTTAAAATAGGTAGGAGAAAGAGCATGGGCGTGTCTTTCCCTGAAAACACCAGAAATAGTTTCTTTTTGTAGGAAAGAAGAGGAGGCCAGAGCCACAAAATGAGATCTGATTGGCTATTCTTTAATTCTAAAGGACGATCCAGGGGAGTGAGACCATAGGCCAATCCAAAACAGTATTTAGTCAAATCAGGCTTCTGAAAGCTGCCTCGTAATAAAAGAAGAAAAAAGAGAGAAGGAGAGAGAGAAAGAATGAATTCTCAGATGGCTGTGATAAGGAATGGCACCATTATACTTGCATTTTCAGAAGTGGCCCTCCTCTTATGCTAGTTTCAAAAGAAGTCCCCTCTATTCACCTTCTCATTAGAACAGCCTCTCCAGAAAAAATGCTGAGACCACACAAAGCAGGACATTCATCACTAGGGCAACCAGTGCACTCAATGAAAGCTGGCAAGCACAAAGGGCTCACTTAAGGGCTTGCAGGGAAGCTGGTTCTCTTTGCCTTTCAGACCATATTCCAGATTAAACATTGAACTCAGATGGGAAGCAAGCTCTATTTTGTTTGTACTAAGAGTATTCATAAAGAATAAAATTATCCTTTTAATTTAATTTTTAAAGCAGGCAATTTCTTGGGTGGAATTAAGTACCAAATTTTTATTTATCAAGACATTACCAGCAGCTACATTCCATCTCACTTTATACCATCCCATTTACACCATCTAAATTCAGTGTAGCTAATTGTTTCCCAGGATGGGTATATTAAATCTGCAAGAACTATTGAGAGATACTTCTTCCCCAGCTTTGCCTCTACCTGCCCCCAAGCTGGCTCCCACCCGTCTTCCCTGTCAAAGACCACGCGCGCGCACACACACACGCGCACACACACACACGCAGGCACATGCACACACACATCTTATGGCTGGCAGCAGCTTACCCAGCAATAGTTCAAATATAATGTGTGAAATGATGCCAGAATCTGGCTACGGCGCTATTCACACATACGATGAAATTTACTGCAAGTCATTTTTGTCTTATATATTCTTTTTAAGGGCTTTGAGATATTACCTTAAAAAAAAAAAAGGCTCCATTCGGTAACTAACTTTCAGTTAGTTTGCTTACCCTATCAGTCCTGCTTTATTCCTACTTTCGGCAAGAATAATAA